TCCAAGGTGGCCAGGTACTTTGTTGGGGAATTCCTAAAGTCATTACTCAGGAAGTTGGAACACCTGTTCATAATGGGAGGACAGCAACATAGACAATAATTTTTGGTTTTTTTGGAGACTAACCTTACTTAAATACTCTTTAGCAGATTATGCATACAAAGTAAAAAGTTATTGTATTTTACTGGCCTTTTAATGATTAGGTTCATTAGCAAATGACATGCATAGGTGATGCATAGGATAGCCCTGGGATGTACCGGGGGGATTTTTTGGATAGGTCATAAAATGAAAAAGATTTGGCCTGCAATAAGAATAACCTAATATAAAATTGAAATCTCTGTCCTTGTTACCTGATAAATACCAGAGTCCTGGCACATGCCAGGGGTGATTGCAGCAGAAGCCATTTTACCAGTGACCAGAACACTTGTGGCCATGGTTCATTGAACAGTAACTTGACAGAAAAAATAAGGTTATAGTCCTTCCAAAAATGAGTTATTGAGCTTCACCAAATTAAGAACTCACTCTCTGGCAGATCTGGCTTTGGCAAAGCTTTTACTGAGTTATGTAAGACTGGGTTTTAAATAAATTGGAGAACATGCACTCTAAAATATCTGTAGCTGTAGGCTGATCTCCTTACTTTGTTTTCAAAGAGTTTCTACAATAGTCTGAGAAATAGATGAATGGATTACTGATGGAAATGAAAATGAAAAAATCCTTAATAATATTCTTAGTTGCCTTGTTCCTGTTGCATCAGAATAAACTCAACTACTTCTGAAGAAAACATCATAACAGAATATTGGTTTATTTCATTTGTGCCACTAAGCTTTACAAAATGGCAACTGCATGATTTGAATATTCTATTTGAGAATAAAATCTATCACAATTTTCAAGGATCTTTGCTTATCATCACCTGGATGCCTCTGAACTGTTTTAACAGGTTAATACTTGCTAAGTGGTTTAGAAAGCAATTTGCCTCTGTGAGTCATATTGTAACTCCAGCCAGTGAAATCTGTCAGTATTTGCTGGAAAGTTAAAGCATGTTAATATCCATATAATGAACACTCTGTATTTCATCACTCCAAAAATATCTGTTGGAAGTACTTGGAGGATTAACTTGGAGTCATGAGAAAAGCACATTTGGTTGTAGCCTCTAGGAAAAAACTGTGCTGTACTTGAAAGAATCAACATGTGGTTAGAAAGAAAATTCTGATTCAACCTACTTTGTGATAGCAACTAATTAACCTCTGGCACCTTTCTCTGAGCTGCAAGCCACTGCTTCCCAGAGGTTGCAGAAAGTCAGGCAGCTCCTGTGCCTTCCTCTTGCAGTGTTAATATTCATTTCACATTCAACTCCAACGTTCTCTTGGCTAACTTCTGTAATGTTCAACCCTCTCCAGACCAAGTGTGTGTGTTGAAGGTGATTTTAACATCCACATTTAGAGCAGCTGCTGAATTCTCACTACATGCTGCTGTAGTTTTAATTTCTTTTGTTTCCTAACTTTTTAAAACTCTGGTTAAAAATAGTACTGCTGTACTTCTTGTTTAATGATTTCTATTGATCAGAACAATAGAATTAATTAGAAAGTGAATTAACTTTCTCCTTTGGTAGTATGCTTAATTGTGATATACTGTACTTAAAGTAAAAAAAAATAATCAATACATTTACCTTCATTACTGTTGAGTTAATGATAGTGCTTAGTAGACCTATGTTAATAAATGTAAATAATGCCTTTGGTAAGTGTCCAAACAGGACAGATGCACTTACTGGGGTTTTGTTGGGAAGTCAGTTGGACATTCAGCTCATTTCCCATCTGTTCTGGGTGTGAATGGCAGAGTTATTTCTGAATCTTAATGTTACAGCCCCTGCAAGAGAAGCTACATTCTGAATACTTCAAGATTTTGTTGCTGGGTATGTGATGGAATAATCAAGTTTTGCTTTTTGTGTATTGCAGTTTACACAGAGCTTAAGCACTGTTGTGGTTTCACTTTGTCTTCCAAAGCCAGGTTCTTGGTGGTGTGTGGAGATAAATGCTGAGCTGCTACCAAGCCAATGACAAAGGCAGAATTTGTGGTCACTCTGGGAGTGATTTTTCCCTCTTGGTGAATGTCACAGGGCTGGAATTCAGGGGACCAGTGCCTTATTGCCAGCTGTTATTGCTGACTTGCTTTGGAACTTCTGCCAAACCCAGCTCCTGAATGTCACTTCCTGCAGAAAGGGGAGGGTGCTCAGCCCTCCAGAACTGTTGAACTGTGGTGGTGTATTTAACAACAACAAATCAAACAAAAATCCTCAAGGCCCCACAAAGAAACAAAAAACCCACAGCACAATTTTTTTTGGTCACAGTTGTTTAGATATAAGCCAAACCCCATACAGGATTAATATAATCTACTTGTCTTTATTCACATGGAATCAGCCAAGTTAATGTTTGGGACTAGAATTGTAAAAGTTATACTCTGGTGAATTTTTCTAGTGTGGAGTTTGCAGTTTTTAATGCTTCATTCACATGTGCAAGTTTCTGTCCATACATAACAGAAAATGTGGAAGAGAAATAGTGGAAATCTTTTCTGCAGAAGAGCTTCAGGTGCTGATCTGCTGAGCTTGTGTGTGTGATAGAGAACTGCTCATTATATATTGAAAATCAGATAGAGAACTGCTTATAGCCACACCAGGCATGTCAAATGTCTACTTTTAGGTATTGAAAGTATTTTAATATTTATTATATCCTCTCTGTTGACTGTGCAGTTTTAACAAGGCATTGTGTTCTATGGAAGATAACCTGTAGAGAACAGAGCTATGGGAAGTTGTGTGTCATGTTCAGAAAAATGCTTCCATTATCCCAGCTGTCCTTGGAATAAATGAATCATGCTCAAGGTCTTTGCCTTCATTTGTAAAACTTATGAATTATGCTGTCTGTCAGGAAGTCAAGCAGTGATGTGGCAAACATGGTAAAAAGCCCACTCCAAACAGCCAAGGAAGTTGGTTTACTTGTCTGTTTCTTTTCAGAATGATTTTAAACGATGCATTCATTTTCTATTTTCTTCCGAGTTCAGAGAAAGTATTTTAAATACTCCTTCATGTAACATCTATCTGATCTGACATTTTGGGAAGATGCTTCAAGAGCAAAGAGTCAGATTCATGCTTGTTGAATCTGTTGTTCTTCACGCCCACGCTTGCAAGTCTCCCCACATTATTTTGTATTTCTTCTCAGGAAGACATGTACAAATTTAGAGAGTGGATGTCCTTTGAAATTATGTAAGACTCTTGCCTCCATGCAATTGTATGAAAACTGAAATAAACAGAACTCACCAAACCCAAAACACCCTAGAACTGAGTGAACAAAAATATTTTGGGTTGTGAGCCAGCAACTGCTTGCTGCTCTGTTGCATATTGTGTTTGTTGGATGCAGAGATAGTCTGGAGAGCCCTTTTTTAAGGTATACCCTGTAAACTTTGTTTAAGTGACTCTGGATTTGTTTTATAAAATAGAGATAATTGTGTTTCAAAAATAGCACAAATCTTGCATGCTGCAGTTGATCCACATTAGTTTATTCAGCTGAGTACATTAGAAGTCACAGCTGCTCAGATGTACCCTTGTTCCTACAGTGTTATGTCTGTGTGCATAAAATCTCACCCATGTTTCAAACCCCTGTACACTGTTGAATGGTGAATTTGTTTCGAATATGTTTTTGTAGCTGACCTTTTGTACTCATGGCTTTGAACAAGGCACATCAATGCTATGAGGGTAATATGTGAGCTTCAGAAAGTGCTCTATGTGGTCTTTGTACCCAAAGAAGGTGGGGGTAAATGTTTTTTTAAAAAAAGGAAATTATGAAAATTATTTTTCTTCCACAAATTCCAAATTTGTCCTTACATAGTGATCATAATCAGAACTGGGGAAAAAAGGAGGGGGATTTAAGCACATTCTTGTTACTTAAAGTAATTTCTGAAACTGGTTTGAAGGCCAATGTTTGAACCTGCATGTTTAAAATTTGGAAAACTTTCTGTATCTGAAATTTGCATCAATTATGTCAAACAGCTATAAATCTTTTTTGAGATATGGAAATACTTGATTAAAAATGGAGATGCCCTCTTCTGTGGATTTATAGCTTATGTTTGCTAATTAAAATTGTGTACATATTCATTAGACCTCTATACAGGCTCATAGGTAGAACATTAAATCACAGAAGTTACAGAAACTAGTTGGTGTTAATATTTCTGTGGAAGAATTTTATTAACATTGTATAATAATTACAGGTTAGCCTAGTTAGGCTCTCAGATGTAACCTAATTTATATCTGAAGATTAAAATAGTAGGCTAATAATACTGCAGTAATTCTTTAACAACTCTACCTAAAATTAGCTTGTCCTGTCTAGATTTGGACAGTAATTGCTTGGAATCACATCCTAAATTAAAATTATGAAGTGTTTGCCTGGACAGTAGCAGAATACTGGATATCATATTCTGAAGGAGTTCTAATTGTGTGTTTCTAAAAGCAGGTTAAAAACTGCAACTGCAGCTTGAAACTCCATGATGTATATTTTCTATTATGAATAGTCATGCATGGATGAGGCAATGCAAGCTATAAGAATGAAAATACTTTTTTTAAATATTACACTTAGAGTTTCAATGTTTCACCAGTTTGGCAAGGAAAAGCTAAGATGCTTAATTTTGGAAACCAGATGAAACCTCTATAAACATCCTACAATACTGGATTGTAGAAATAACAGTGTTCAATTGTCTAAATCAGGGAGCTGGGGATGGAAGAAAAAGGAAAAACTTACAATCAAAAAAGCAGTTATGCCTTTTTAGAGACTGTTAACCCTTCACTTTCTTGAATTAGCTGAAGGGAACCACTAAGGACTGATTCTGTTGCCTGCTGATTTTTTTTTTCCTGTAGCCCCTGTGCTGTTACATTTCATCCCAGAAGACTGTGGGTTTAAAACAAAAGATCACTGAATGAAAATGACTTTGGTCTTGAGGTTTCTCTGTTCCCATTCCCGTAGATCCCTGGTGGAAGAGGAGGATCCTCATATGAAAGTGTCTCTTGGCAGCAGCGATATGGGCGTCTCTGCCCACCTGCAGTCTTCGAAGACAGGAACCACCAGATTTTTCACCAGCAATACTCACAGTTCTGTGGTGTTACAGGTAATTAAATATTCTCATCCTGTATTGAGCTGTACTGAGATTTTTGGCTGCTCTAAACAATGTGTCCACTCAATAGATTTTATTAGTCTAGTAATTCCTGTAAAGCCTCAAAAACTTTCATGTTCTTGTGCCGTCAATGCCCACAAGCAAGCATGGCTTGGGACTTGCTTTCCTCTGAGACAGAGGCTCAACTTTCAGCAGCAGCTTGGGAAAAAACCTGGCCTTTTCCTGGAGTCATGTCCCAGTTCACTCTCAAGTTCTTAGAGGTAACAACATTTCAACTCTGACATGAGAGCTGTATCAAAGAAGCTCAATTAAATACCATTATTTAATTACATTAGGCATGTTCCTTACGTGGCAGAGCCCTGCCAGGTTTGGTGTAATGCCCTGTACTGGGTCTGACTATGGCACTACTGTGTGGTAGAACATCTATACTGACAATATTTACATTCTTGCTAGTATTAGAAAAATACCAGTTTGAAGGAAAATGGTTTATGTTTGAGTTCCTGTTCCACAGTGAATGAATGAGGAGAGTATTTCATCCATCCTCCAGTATACACAACCAGGCACATCTTTGGAAGAAATCTTGCTCTAGGATGCTACTGTAGATGATTTTATTTTTTATTACAGTTAGATGTTCTAAGTAATTCAGAGACCAGATGTATAATGGGAGCTTATTTTGGAGTTTTTAGCATGTCAGCTTTGGTAACAAATTTGATAATCATAGAACTGGTAACTACTTTCCTTTCAGGTCACAGACTTTTGCAGCCTGTTAGGCTGCAGACCCCTTAAATTGCTGTGGAACAGAATTAAATCTAGAAGGCATATGTGACCAGAAGGGGTAGGTCCAAAAAAGACAGCAGTGCCTACCTGAAAAAACTGCTATTGTGAGAGCTTACAAAATAAACTCCTTCCTGGAAATAACTTAATTATTTGAATAAAACTACTTTCCATGGCCTGGTGTACTTGGCATTCATCAGCTGTATCTGGAAAATAATGATTATTCTGCTCATCTTCAATGAATACTAATCATTGAATATATTACAGATAATGGTTTTAAGATGACAAATTATTTCTTTGTCACTTTTTTGGACCTACACTGCACATGTACATGAAATTAAATAAATATTTACATAAGGGAAATAAGAGATTGCTGCTCTCCTAAAATCCAAGGGCTGCTTTGCATTGTGCTCTTCCTGCAGGGCTTTGACCAGCTGCGGGTGGAAGGTTTGCTCTGTGACGTGACGCTCGTTCCTGGAGATGGTGATGAGGTGTTCCCTGTGCACAGAGCAATGATGGCTTCTGCAAGTGATTACTTCAAGGCCATGTTCACAGGTGGTGTTTTTATTAAAGCCATGTACTATCTCCAAATTGCTGCTCCAAATTGCTCTAATTCAGACACTCAGACACAAGTTCAGTGCTGAGTTCACTGATTTTTTTTTTGTGAATCAGTCCAGGACTGCTAACAACACTGTGGACTAAACATCTCTCTCTACTATTGCATATGGGATTTTTAAATTAAATTTTAAAATTATATTTTAATTATCTCTAAATTTATGAAATAATTTCAACCCCATTGAAATGATCATTTACATTTACCTGCATGTCTGTTTCAGGAGGAATGAAGGAACAAGATTTAATGTGCATTAAGCTTCATGGTGTGAACAAAATAGGCCTAAAGAAGATCATTGATTTCATCTATACTGCAAAACTTTCCCTTAACATGGACAACCTTCAGGACACTCTGGAAGCTGCCAGTTTTTTGCAGATTTTACCTGTTTTGGACTTCTGTAAAGTATTTCTTATCTCTGGGGTAAGACTATTTGTTTCCTATTTACAGTGTTTAAGGCCTTGGCACATAGTTTTGTTTTTTCTTTTATAATGACACTGACTTATGTAATAATCAAAGTTATGTCTAAAACTTGCCACTATTCACAGCTTAGATTCACAGAGAACAAATTTGCTTTATAGTTTCCTTGAAAAACTTGGTTTTCTTCTGAATATTACATTCAGCATGAGTTTGATACAAATGTTTCACCACATTGAAATTCTTCCCTTACATGTCTGATTTGAGATGTTTCAGGGTCTCCCTGCATGACTGCACTCACTCTGGCATTACCTGCTTGCTGCATTCATTAGGTGTGCTTCAGTTACAGTCACTTTATTCCTGTATTTACAGCCCCTCCATCTCAATGGGGTGCAGTTACCTGTTTTCTGACTCTAACAAGGATAAAAGCAATACCTAGAGAGGATCCCTCCTCCCCTGCCAGCAGTGAGGAGCTCCTGCTCTGTGGGGCTGTAGAACAGCAGTGGTGCAAGAGCAGTTCTGCCTGGAGAGACACTCTGCAGTTATTTTTAATGTTCACTGGAGGTTTTCTAGTGTTGATGTTAAATGCTTATATATCTCACTAGAGCTCTGACTTTAGCAGGTGTATTCCACACAAATTACAGAATTATTTGGAAATCAGCTTTTCGATTCTGTAATGAGAAATAAAGAAGCAGGTATTCCTGTTGCTCTGCAGAGTACAGGCTTAGAAATGTGACCTCCCTGACTGAAAATACATACCAGGATTTATGCAAACCAGAGGACTCTAAGCTGGTAATAACAGCAATTTGTTTCCTATGATGTGTTAGAGATATTCAGGCTTGATAATGCCATTTTGCTTTTCATTTGGAGACATTTTATAACTGACCTGTCTGATAATGTTGTGATAATGTTTCATTAAGCTTAATACTCTTCAATCCTACCCCACCTATTTTATCTTGCTCAGTGTTTTTTTTTACCTCCAAAATGATCCCTCTTCAGGTTTGACATTACTATAAATACCAGCTTGGGAAAAGGTCTTGGTAGTGTTTTGAATCAGGTATTTGAAAAGGGCTCCTTGTGATGGGAGCTGAACCCTGGGGACACTGTGGTGGCCTTTCCCCTTTCTGGGTAGGGCAGCTCCTTGTTTATTTTGCTTTCATATTGAATTGTGTTATTGTTTAAAATGCTCATTCTCTGAAAGTATGTTCACTTGTGATGTTGACTCAGTCACTGTTTTTGTTCAAATAAGAAATATCTTGTTTGATACTGCATTTCATTTTCAAAGAATGAGGAAGACTTTGTTAATTCTCTTAATTTTATTGGGGTTTTTTGGGGAATACTTTCATTTAGACTGATGTCTGAGGGAACATCATTCATGGTATAGCTGGAGAGGAAGTACAAAACTGAGGTTGTTCTGTTAGCCTAGTTAGGTTCTTAGCAGCCTTATATAAAGAATTTTTGAATGACCTTACTTCTAAATTTGTTGAAACAAGAGTTGTTGAGCAAATGAGCTTCTTTTTGAAGGAGCATTTCTGTAATTTAAATGAATATTCTGAGCAAGTATTGAGCTTATTTCTACTGAAGTTAGCTGGCTTGAGAGCTGAGGTAACCATTCCCAGACAAATACTTAATTGTCTTTGAATTGTCAGGGGAGTCCATTATTAAAGAGATTATAGAAGTCAGTTTATGTAAGGCATAATGTAATTGTGTACTTCATAAGAGGGTATTGGAAATATTTACAAAGAAAAACCAAAGCTTAAGGTTACAGCTTAATTTATGTAACAAAAATAATGAGACCTTCAAAGAACAATATCTGGTGTAGCTGACTTGAAAGTGTTTTTTTAATTTGCTCTGCATTTACACCCTTCCTGTCAAGTATCCCATTGCTCTGATTATCTTTGCTCTGCAACCAGACAAACTCTCAGAGAAAACAGTGGAATACTTCCCAAGGTGTTTTCAGTTTTACTGTTACTATTGGTTTTCAATAATTACAGCTGTGCAATAGACTAGGACTGCTCTCATGTTCACATCTAACTGAGCTGTAATGTAAATAAAATTCGTAAAAATGACGTGGAAATGTTTTCAGAGTAGTGAGTTCTAGACACAACACTGATCTTGCAAAAGTAGCAGCAGTGTACAAAATGGAGAAAGATGAGAAACTTGCCCAAGTGAATTACAGCACTTAGGAAAATTACAGGGTAATGGGGAAAGGGTAGTTACACTGTAATTAAAGAAAACATTCCCAAACATTGAAAATTAATGTCTTGGATGTACCTGCAAAAAAATTTTATTCTATCTATAATTTGGTGCTTTACACTTTTGCAACTACTAGGAAATAGTCAAATATTGAGGGCTTAATACATGGAAGTCGTGTCTTGTCAAAAAAAACTTGGTTATCTGAGGATGAAGCAAGTTTTGTGGGAATGTGGGATTTAACCCTGGGACCAGCTCTGACAGCCACCAGAAATTTGACTTTGTACTGTAGGGGTACAATGGATTCTGTTTTCTGAGCTGGTCAAATTTCTGTGCTGTTTTTTCTGGGCTTCTGTCTATGGGAGCCCATAGGAAAATTGAGGGTTTCAGGGGTGTGTTTGCTCATTTAAACTTTGGCCCTTTGAAGCACTGCATTAAGTGCTTCAGTGTCTGACAGCCATTGAAATAAAATGGAGTCAGACACCTGATTGTTTTGTGCTGCTGCGTTTGAGGGCTGGATTTTTTTGTGCATGCTGCTTTTCCTGAGCTGTTCTCCAAGGCTCTCATACTTGCAATCATTTTGCTGTGTCCAGTTCTGTAGTATTTTATAGTCAGTTAAATTTTTATGAGAGCTTGGGAAGTGGTTGCTACCAAAATTTCAAAGAATTAAGTGAACTGCTTTCTCAAGAAAGTACTTTGGCTTTTGCTTTGGGTTTTTCAGGCTGTTGTAACATGGTGCTGTGCTTGACCTTTCTTTTTTGAAAAGCTTTTTAGTATTTTCTGCAACTTCTGTTTTGTAATGAGCAATTACAATGAGTAATGTGAGTGAGCAGCTCTGCTCAGTAGTCAAAGTCCATGTAAAATAGGATTTATTTAACTGCAATTCTCTACTCCTTGTGGAGCTGCTTAGCTGTTTGAATGTCTATGGCTTTAAACTCTTTCCTTGTGAGTATTTTTACTTGTTATTGGATACACTGTACAGTGTATATATTTTCACCTGGTATTTCCATTCCTCCTGTTCACTTCAGTGGGATTTCCAGAGTAGCAGTTCCTTCTCTTCACTGAAGAGCTCCTGGTTGACTGACTTCCACATAGAACCCTAGCATAAGTCAAACTTCTAAAAAACCCAAAAAACCCTAATGTTTGGGTAACTTAAGTATTTATTTAAATAACATTATTGTGCTGAACTCTGTCCAGTTTTGAATATTACAGTAGAAGTAGCTATAGCATTTCTTTCTGTTGAAGGATTATTTTTTGGCTCAGGATTTAAGAATCTAAGATATGTATTTTTGTGACTTTTAAGTCTTTGCAATATAATTTAGGCTGGTACACTGATTGTCATCTTAGAGTACAGAAAAGAGGCTAACAGCAATTTTGCAAGAAAAGTAGCATTTAAGACAATATTTAATATGGCACCCTGCTTTGAGGTGAGTGGTGGAATTTGTTGGTGAGTCAAACATAGTGCATAATTTCATAAGCATAATGGGAAGTACTTGGAATCATATATTAAAAAACCCTCCACCCCTGAGTGCAGTACAGTCCCAGTGGATTAATAAAGGCAGTATAAAGTAAATTTTCCGAGAATCAGGGGTTGACTGGAAGCTGCTGATGTCATGTTCATCAGTCATTAACAGTGTGTAATGTGTCAATAAATTTTTCAAATGTAAGAAGTCCAGGAATATGCTCAGCTGCATGGATTTGCAGTGTAACATAATTATGGTAATACAGAACTCAGTGCACTCTGGGCTCTTGATAAGTGGCAGCCAGCAACAGTTCCAAATACTTCATTGCATCCTGGGCATGTGCCAGTGGTACAGAACCTGTACAGCTTTTGCTTTGATCTTTTAAGTTCAAGTGTGCCTTTCCTCTATGCAATAATTTCTGCCTGCCTACTTTGATGTGGAGGAAGTGCTGCATCTCTCTAGTTTGGTGCCAGACAATGTATTCCAAAGTGATTTTTAAATACAGTAACTATATAGCAAGAGTTAAGATTTGTGGCATACTGCAAGTCAGCTGTTTGTTAAGGGGTGATTTTTTTCATTGCTTTATTTTGTAATACAAGTTGGAAGAAATTTTGGGAGAAATTCCACCAGACCAGTTTGCTCAGAACCCCATCCAGCCTGGCCTTGGACACTTCAGCAATGGAGCAGCCACAGCTTCTCTGGGCAATCAGTGTTGATCCTCAAAACCAGTCAGAGAATATTTTATAGGCTGTTGCTAGTTGGTGTGATTATATTTTGATATAATCTATGTGGTCTGTCATGTAATACAAAAATTATTTCCATGTATATAAAGCACAAATATTTTCATACTAGAACTCCTGACAGTCTGCTGCACATTCATTTTATAGATAGGACCTGATTAGAGGATTAGTAGATGTTTCAAGATGCGTGAATGAAGACTTTGGATGACTGTAGATCTTAACTCTAGGCCAAGTTAGATCAGTTTCTAGTGAATTAAGAAAATCTCCTATTCCTGTACTCTTAGACATTTGAATTGTCTGGTATTAAAGGACAATGATCAGATTGAGTTATACAGTATTAAAATCTTCTAATCTCTGTCATGACCAGAAGTCATTTGAAGGTTTTTGAATTCTTAGGCTCCAGTCAGGTCCAGTCCTCAATCTTTATAATCTTTTTTAAAATAACTGTGAGATTTGTGAGCTTAAATTCTTCTGGCATTAGGAATGTAATGAGAATCACAAAGTTGTGGAAATGGTTGACACTGAGTAGAACTGACATGCACAGAGACGAGAACATGTGTAAATGAAGCTTGGTCTGAAATAAGGTTTGAATGCAAAAAAGCTGCAATTCTCAGCAAGAAGCATTTGATTGACTTGCTGGGCACATGTACCAGAGAGCTTCCTGAAAGGACCTGGCTGGGTTCACTGAAAACCCACCCAGAAGTTTGCCCCATTCCTGGCATGTTTCTTCCTTCCTGTGCCTTGGATCCCAAGTGACCTTAGAAATTCAGCAGCCAAAGATATAAAAAGATAAATGCAGCTACAGTGTAAAACATATGATTACCAAGTCACTCAAGTACTGAGTTAAATTAAGGTGTGATCCATACTGCTAAAGCATTTAATGAGCTGGGTATTTTTAGGGGAAATCCTCCTAGGTTCATTCTTTTTTAAAAATTGTGTATAAACTAAAATCACTACCTTTGTCTTATTTTGGAGGTGTATTTAATTTTGAACAGAGTCTATAAGAACACTGCCTTGATTTATTAAAGATCCATTTTTGTTTGTTTTGAAGGAATGTATTCATGAGATTGAACACTGTAAATATTAGTTGTCTGAAATATGTGGCATACAGGGGTTAGCTGTGCCATTCACTTTGGTTTTATTATGCCAATACAGTTTTAGTATAGTCAGAAAAAATCTACTGGTGAGACTTTTGTTTTGCTCTCTGTAACCTTGGGTGATCACCTGTCCCCTAACTTTATTTTCCACATGTCTTTCTTGCAAAGATGTTTTCAGAACTTTTCAAAGATGAAGTGCTATATAGCTGCTGTGCCTCATCATTGTATAAGGTATTTGACATAATATATGCCATCTGCTTGTTACTTGTCTCAGTTCTTTCTTCAAAATAAGGAATAAATGGGGTCTCCCTTTGCAGTCATGAATAGATACACTGCATTGAATATTTGCTCATGTGTAAATCACCTTGAGCACTGCAAAATGCTGAAATATTGCTGATTCTACAGTATTCATTAAATTTTACATTATCGTTTAGACACCAAATTAAGAAAGCGTTTTGATTCCTTTTTCTGTTTACTTAATAGGTTTCATTGGAAAACTGTGTTGAGGTTGGGCGAATTGCCAACACGTACAATCTCACAGAAGTGGATAAATATGTTAATAATTTCATCCTGAAGAACTTCCCTGCATTATTAAGTACTGGTGAATTTGTGAAACTCCCCTTTGAACGTCTTGCCTTCGTGCTTTCAAGTAATAGCCTTAAGCACTGCACTGAGCTGGAGCTCTTCAAGGCGGCGTGTCGCTGGCTGCGCTACGAGGAGCCCCGCATGGAGTACGCCGCCAAGCTCATGAAGAACATCAGGTTTCCCCTGATGACACCCCAGGATCTTATCAACTACGTTCAGACGGTGGACTTCATGAGGACTGACAACACCTGCGTCAACTTGCTGCTGGAGGCCAGCAACTACCAGATGATGCCGTACATGCAGCCGGTGATGCAGTCGGAGCGGACGGCGATCCGCTCGGACAGCACGCACCTGGTGACGCTGGGGGGGGTGCTCAGGCAGCAGCTGGTGGTCAGCAAGGAGCTGCGCATGTACGACGAGAAGGCCCACGAGTGGAAGTCCCTGGCGCCCATGGACGCGCCGCGCTACCAGCACGGCATCGCCGTCATCGGCAACTTCCTCTACGTGGTGGGCGGCCAGAGCAACTACGACACCAAGGGCAAGACGGCGGTGGACACGGTCTTCAGGTTTGATCCGCGCTACAACAAGTGGATGCAAGTGGCATCTTTAAACGAGAAACGGACCTTCTTCCACCTAAGTGCCCTGAAAGGACATTTGTACGCAGTCGGAGGTCGGAACGCGGCGGGCGAGCTAGGTGAGTCCTCCTGGAGCCTTGCCTCGTGCTGGGCCTGGAAATGCCCTCTGCCCAGGGAGAGGGTGGAGACAAACAAGCTGAGGTCATTGGAGTGCTGCTGCTTTCTGGGAATACCGCGAATACAGAATTTTTTCTGGGTACTCTTAGAAGTTAATTTTCGAAGGAATCCCACAAAACAATTCCAGATAGATATGTCATGTGTATTGATGCATATTATCCAGTTTGATGCATATTATCCTTTACCAGGAAACATGAAGCAAGCATCTATGTCGGCCTGTGTAAGTGTGGGGGAATATAAATGCAATTTTAAAAAGAAAAATTAATCATTACTTCAGCTGAGAAACAAAATCCATTCCTAAGGGATACGTGACTCTAGCTGAAACTCACTCTTGAATCAACATTACATTTTAAAAGACAAAACTTTTCTGGAATAGTATTGGAAATGCCAAGGGTTTTTCTGATTTTTTTTTTTCTTTTTCTTTGTTTTTTTTTTTTTGTTTGTTTGTTTGGTTTTTTTGTTTGTTTTTTTTTGTTTTGTTTGTTTTTTGCTTTTTGGGTTTTTTTAATTTTAGTCTTATGACTGTAATTTGTTTCACTCACAGATTAGTGACATTCAGATATTCTGATGTTCTGGATGTCTTAATTATTAAAAATGTTATGTTTCACCTATGATCTTATTTGTACAAATGACTGAATTACTTGGTCCTGGTGCCTCTTCTTTTCTCCCCTTGCAAAGGATATTTAATTTAGCTTGACAAAAAAAACAAACAACCCAACCCAAACAAACAAAACAAAAACACCAAAAAAGAAACAAACAAAAACAGAAGAAAAAACCCCATATCAGTTTCCAGGGAACAAGATAGAAACAAATATTAAATACATGTTAAGTTTAAATTTAACAAAAATATGCAGACCGTGACCCCTATTAATCCACTGCATTGTGCAAAGCCTTAGTGGTTAATATTTGGTCAAGTCTGGGATAGGAGACTCAACTGTAAACTTGTCTGTGCTTTAAAATTGAAATGTCACAGAGATTGTGCTTGGAAGTTTAGCATAATATTATATCTAAACCAGATGTAACACCTCATTATTTAGTTTGCTGCTTTCAGCCCAATACTCAACTGTCCCATGTCCCTTTGTGGCTTCTACCTCTTGCTACCAAGATCTACTTTTCAGAAATGCACAGATATCTGTAAGTGCAGTGAGAAACATATTTAATTGAAACAATGCAAAACTTGATTTCTACTGCAGGATCTGTGGCTTCTTAGAATTACTGCATCTTGGTTATTCACATAGGTTTAATTCATTGTCATGTTGCAAGTTTTCATAGGAAACATACAGTACACTGCTTCCAAAAAAAAAAAAAAACGGCCTGGCTTTGCTAGAAATTTTAATTCTATCTAATGTTTGATGAAATGGGACATTTAAAAATGCCTCCTGTTCCAAAAAGATGGGAAACTGCTTAGCAATAAGTTGTTTTCCCTAGACAGCCATTTTCTGATGCAGATCCTGAGGATTTCAGAATTTTTTACTATTATCACTACTTACCTGAAAATACATCCTAAACAGTCTCAATATCCTCTGAAATACTAGATGTACAAAATAACATGTATTGACCTCTGAGTATCAGAAAACCTGATATATAGCTTCAGTGAGCTATTTTTTAACAGTATGAATTAATAGCAGATAATCAGATTGCTGACCTTGTGCACTGTACAATCTGAACAGAGGAGGGTTATAAAAATGTCAGTGAAAAAGTTGCAAGTCTGACAAAATCAATATGAAATAATATTGTCACTAAGCCAGTGCAACCTGGTGTGAGGGTGGCTTTGAGTGCAGTGTTACCTTAAATTAGATCAGTATTATTCTGCTGACCTCAACTCTTCTGCTTTCTTTAATTAAAATACAAAATTTATCACCTATCTAAAATTCTTTTGTAAAGATATCATTAAAATACTGTAGCAATTTCCACACGGACCTGAAAAATGCCACTGGATCATTCTGTGGGAAGAGCACTCTAAATGCTAAATATTGTAGCTGTCTGATGCTTTGATTTGGGGCTTCAGGTTCTTTCCTTGTTAATTGTGAGGTGAGTCACTTTTCATTTTCATATTTCTTTCATAAACCTTGACAACTGGAAGATGCAATCCAGCTTAAACTTCCCATTCTGTTCAGAAGAGAAAAGCTCTAAGGCTTTTCAAAGAGAGAAGGTCAAATCTGTGTTGGACAGATATTAAAGAAGTTGCCCTTGGGTTCAAACTAATTTCAGTCTGTTGTTAGAGAGGAAAAATTCCCAAAACCTGATTTGAGCTTTCTGGAAAATGGGCTCTTATGGAAAAGGGCCAAAGGATTAAAGTTACTAAAACAATTTTTTTCCCTTGACATTCATGGCAATAAAAATTATACTTTTTGAGGCTTTCTATCAAACATTCTGAAAACAGTTTTCAGATGTTTCTTCTTCTGAGAATTTTGTAAATGCCACATTCTACATTTGTAATACTTGCTTTAGTGTAATAAATGAGCTGCTTTTCCACCAGTGCATGCCACTGGAAAAGTTTGGTTCACTGGACAGGATGAGTGAATTTCCATGTATGTGGTACATGTGCTGGAATGTGGTAAATGTATCCTTTAAATATCCTGAATTATGACATTATAATTTAGATTTTTTTCAACCCTGTGACAGCTTAGGGCTGTGCAGAATTAAGCATCCCTCCTGGAAGGATTGTAGATAATTCTGCTTAGTTCCCTTTAAATGTCAAGGCAGGCACCTGCCAGAGGTATTCATTCCCAGGAGGCAGGAGAGCGGCCCTTGGGCATGGAGCAGCCCAGCCTGGAGAGGGCAGGTGGGCAAAAAAAAAGACTTTTTGGGCAAAGAGACAAAGAGAAAAGCAGGTGTGGCTCCCAAAGATATCTGTGAAGCACAGCACATCAGCAGATTCCAGCTGGACACTGGAGACTGTTTTCTCTTCTGACAAGAAGATTTTTGTAGCTCATTGCAAGAGCTCAGTTGTGCTTGATGATGGCAGAAGCTGTGTGTGTCTAATGCACTAGAAAACTTGTTCATTAGTATTGTCCAGACACTTCAGGCTCTTCTGTTGATAGCTGGGAGTAGAGTTTGGGGTTTTTATATATGGGCTTTTCCTCAGCACTTTAGGGGATGTTGGGTTGTGACTAAACCACAGATTTATTCATCATGCTGCAATAAAGACAGAAGGAGAAAACTGCCAGGCCAGTTCTTTTGACCCTCTGCCCATCAAGTTGGAAGATATTTATTTTCCAGATGCCCTCTGTGATGTTGAACCCTCCTTGTTTATGTAAAATCTTCCCCTGTGAGTGTGTGTGTGTACATATATATGGATGTATGTAAAGATACAGCTAAGATATTTTAAATGTTGTTGATTGATATGCACCAGTATGCAGTGAGGCTTTGCACTGTCAGAGTAGTATTGTGAATATCAGTGAATATCAGAGTAGTATTGTGATATCAGAATATCAGGCCAGAGTGTGAACTAGAGGATCTCTTGTACAGAGGCTTATTTTGGAGTGGCTCCTTGCTATGTTAGGACAAAATTAGTCAGGACTATTTAACTAAGTCAGCTTAGAGTTTTACATGAATAAGTTGTATTATAGAAACAGTATAACAAAATTAAGAGCCTGGGTTTTGGGACATCACAGAGTTGCCAAGTGCTGCTGTAACAGACCTCAAGACACTTTAGAAGCTACTGACAGAGAAGTGTTAAATATCTGCATCCTCCTCAAATAGCATCACAGATGGCACTACAAAATGAGTGCAGGCTGAACATCCCTTGGGACTGCCAAAACTTTGTCTTTTTGAGATTGCTTAATTCTCTTAAAATGAGGCCTGTCTTGCCTGGATTATGGTAATGAACACATCAGAAGTTCTACTGTTAAACATAAATAGAGCCTGGTCTGAATCATTCATGGTGTTGGAAGAATGAATCCATCACTCTCACTTAGATGCAATAAAGTAGCAGTTTTAGAGTGTTTTGTGAACTCTGCTCTGTCTGGAGACTTTCTAAAGAAGAATTTGTCTCTCTTAATTTATGGGCACCTTTAATAGCTGGAATTTTGAATATTTTTTTCTTTTCAGTGCAGAGGAATATCTTGCTAAAAGATAGAAGTTGAATGACCTTGCAAGGTAACAGGGAAACAATTATACAGATCAATCTAACAGCAGAGCAGGGTTTTCAGCTGTAAAGTGATTAGCTTTGTTTTAGAGCACAGTGGATGTGAGATTTGGGTTGGAATAGTTTGTCTGAAATAGTGTCAGACTGTACTAGGAATGTTAGAGACAGTTTTGAAGCCACATCACAAAGTGATGGGTCTTGGACTCAGCACCATCCTTTCTCAAATAAATAATGTCTTTACAACATGCTGATAGTGATGGTGGTAATGGGTACCAATTCTACATGTTTTGTCTTCTCTAGCTAAAGGGATATTTTGGCTTCTCTCTTAAATGCAGTTTGTAGTGCAGAGTGAGATAAAACTGTCCAGCACTGAATGTCACATTCCTCTGTGTGCTGCTCCTCTGCTCTTCCTTTGCACATCCTCTGCTCTCCCTGTCCTTGGAGTGTGTCAGAAACACGAGTTCCTCACCTTGGTGCAGAGTGGGAGCACTTTGGGAAGGGATGCAGTTTGTGTGCAAGCAGCAGTGACGTTTCAGCACAGAGGAGCAGCCAGCACGGGCTGGAAGGGGCTGCCCTGGGGGTGGGACTGGGACAGCTGTAATTACTTGCACATCAAATCTGTTTCCTTCTGGTTTTGAAATTTCTGCATATCTTTGCTTCTGATTGCTAAACAGAGCAGAGGGGAAAGGAGCTTTCCTTATAAAAGAAGCATTTTGGAATGGATGAATGTGTTTACAAGAGCAAGCATGGGTTTATTTGGGGATTGGGCAAAAACTGCTGGTGATGTCAAGGTGGCACTGCAGAGAAACACAACTCACAGATTTAATTTTGTGTCATTTGTGGAATGAGTTCTTTGTGCCTATACCTTTCTTTGGGCAAGAGAGTGTCTCCAGCATTCCTTGGATTTGTGGCTAAGTCCTTGATGGGATACAGAAGGCCTACAGTGTATCAAATGGAAAATAATACTAGTTTTTTTAAAAAGGAGATTTCTGTCTTTATTAAGAAAGTCCAAACAACCAAGGGAGATCTCTTAGATTAAACTTGGAAACTTGCCCATATATTGGGCAGATTTTTTAAATCAAAAATTTGGTACATCACCAGTACTGCAGACACACCTGACTTCAGCTCCTTTGTATTGGTTTGTTATTTTTTTGTCCATCTTACACATCCCTGAGCTGGCAGAACTGGGAGTCCTTGTTCAAGCCACTTGCAGAGAACCAGATGCATTTCAAGATTTCATTACTATTTTGAAGCAGTTTCAAGAATATTAAATTAATCATTTTATACATGCAAATCAATATATATAATTTGTTTAGAAAAAGACCAGATATTTAGTGTGTTTTGCGTTGTATAATGAATTTAATGTTCTGGACTGGCACTTTTCTGCATTTCATAAATTTAAAGTTCAGCTCCTGGGTGGGGAAAAGCTGATGCAAATCCAGTGTGCTGTAACGATTTAACAATTCTTATGTGCAAAACTGATTTTTTATTTTTCACTTCTAGCCTTAGATGATACTGAACTGGCTGTCAAACAGTATTTCTGACATTGGAACTGGAAGCTTCTATTTTCAGTGCATGTACTTGAGACACTAATTGCATGGATTTATGTATAATCATCCCGTTTTGCAACAATAAAGAGGTTATGCAGCAACTAAAAGAGAATTCAGAAGGTCACTCTAATGTGCTCTATACTAATTTTTTCATGACTAGGGATTTTTTTTTGTAGTCTGAGACCATAGCTATACTCTTCTAAAATGATCCAGAGGATCTTTTTAAAACAGCTTTGGAGTTAGAGTGAGGTGCTTTATATTCACTATGTGTTACTGTCTGATGTTCTCTACTGGCTCTATAATTCTGTAATTAGGCTTAAACTAAAACTAACGGGATTCTGCCTTTATAATGACAAGTTTCTCACATTCTAAGGGTATTTTCTCTCTTGATTGATGTGTAATCCTGCACTGTTAAGTCACCATCACTGATTCCATAGAGCTGACTCAGATTTTCTACTCTTGATTCAATAAAAACCTTGTTCTAGAGCAAGTAAAATGCCACTTTTAAAGACAGATTCAATTTTTCTATGTATAGTTCATAAACATCCAACAAAGATTAAGCAGTCTTTAATCATTTAAAATGAGATCTAATTTGTCTTTAAGATAACTTAATTATTGACAATTTCTCTGTGCATCATAAAGTCACTATATTATGGGGGTTTTGAGGACCTTGTGCCCCTCTGATCATACTGTAATGTTCAAGCTGCCAGACCTAGAACTTGCTCCATTTTTGAATCTGCCTTCTATTTGTATTCCCTGTGATTATTGCAGCCCTTTTCCTGCAGCCTGCATCTCTCCCATCTTACACTGGAGAGAGGTTTCCTCCTCAGGAATCCATTCTGCACTCCTGGGTACTGCTGGGTACTGCCCTCTGTGATTGCTGATTGATAAAACCCTTGATCATTCTAACATTCCAACTCAGAGAAAACTGCACAAATGGAGTTATGCATCAACACAGGCACTGCTTATCTCCTTGCCAGATTCAGGGATGTTTCATCTTTTTTCTTTTAAGCTTGGCTTTTGTAAATTGATGTAGTGACTTGCATATGCTGTGCTGTATGTTGCTGTGCAAATCCTTAATAAAACAGTGCAATACAATAGAAAATTAGCACACAGAGTAGAAGATTAGAACACAGAGTGTTCTCTGAGCAAGTTTGCTGGTGGTGCAACCCACCTGGACACAATCCTATGCAGCCTGTTCTTGGTGACCCTTCTTTAGCAGAGGAGTTGGATGAGGTGGAGTAGATGATTTCCAGAGGCCCTTTCCAGCCCCATCTGCTCTCTGTTTCTGTGATAATAATTTCAATAATTCCCTTGAGACTCCCTCAGCTGAAGTGTTACTTGTTGGCACTTCCTCTGTGGATGTTTCTGCCACTGCACTGAGCTGAGCACCAAACTGCCCTGCTGCTTTCACCACTTCTGTGCTGTCCTTTGTCTCCAACAGCCACTGTGGAATGTTACAACCCCAGAATGAACGAGTGGAGCTACGTGGCAAAAATGAACGAGCCCCACTATGGTCACGCTGGAACGGTCTATGGGGGGTTAATGTACATTTCAGGTAAATCAATCATGCCTGTGACATCATCTCTGTGAAACAATTCCTCCTCTAACTTTTTCTGTTTCAGCAGCAGACAGTACAAATTAGTCTGTAGTTGCAGCAGGATTGCCATGGTATCAGTTGTGATGCAGTTTCCTATGAAGCCAGTGAAACAGCACATACACTGCTGGCTCTGACAAAATTATTGTAGATAATATTATGCTTAGTAAATGAATAGCTCTGAATTCCAAAGCAGTTACTCACTTTACCAAGCAGAATAAAGTTTTCTGTAGCTGCATATATAAATTGTAATATATAATTTATATATTATATATAGCAATATAATTAAACATAATATTGTTATAATATATAATTATAATTGTGTATAATAGTATTAAATAATTATAACATATATTATGATATAATATAGCAATTAAACACACCCTCCCAGTAAACTTTGGAACGCATTGGAAATTTTTTAACTTTAAACAACATTTGTCTTCATTGAGGTACTGGAAAGGGCTAAGTTCTTGTGTTAATCATAACATATAAGTGATATCTGTACTTTCACTGTTTTTTATTTGAAATATGCTTGTCCTGTGTGTCACTGAGGTTGTACTTTCATTACATTTTTTTTCCAAATGCATTGTCTGAAAATCTGCTATTAGCTTAATTTTTTAAGAAGATCCAATCTGTCTGTCAGTGATCATTGCAGGGATCACAGCCCTGTATTCTCCTACTGAAATTTTAAAGGATGTCCTCTCAGAGCAGGAGGTGGGACAAGGTTGCTTAGCTGACAAAAACTGGTGGGGGATGTTCTGGAGCTGCTTCATTTAGGGGCTCTTGTGCCAGTAGGCAAGGAGGAATTTGCTTTAGAATTTACTGTGAGGTACAGGTGCTTATTTTGATGTGAGCAAGTCCATTGAGCTCCTAATTGGTGTGCTGCTGTCAGTTGTGTTTTGCCCATTTTGCTTGTTTTACTGCAGGTGGCACATACATATGCTGTCTGCTGTGGTTTTTTCATGTAGATCCCACAGATTTTTCTTTTCCTTTTGTCCTGGAGCCTCTCCAAATGCTTTTGCAGGGAGCTATGGAGAAGGTAAATGTAGAGGGAACCCTAGGTAACTATTAACTGAAGACTGTTTGAAATGTGTGTCCTCTCTCTATTCACTTGAAGTTGATGAAAAAAGATTTTTGATGAAAATTCTACTATGTGATACTTAAAACACAGTGGCATAGTATCAAAATTTGAAAGGGAAATGGATTCTTGTTGGTGAGAAACATAACCAGCAAACTGAATGAACACAGGCAAAGAAATAAATTTGCAAAGTAGAAGCATAGGTAACAGGTTTTTGTTCTTTTAATCTGCCAGTATAAATTGTGTAATGAGGTGCAGTGTGAGACATGGCTTCTGTCCATATTCCCATTTAAAGGAGCAAGTGTCATTTGAAATTGAGTACTTTTGTGATAGTAATCTAAGCTAGAGTGAAGAAGTTTTAAGGAAGGTGGAATTCTTTCAGTAAAATGTATTTTTTGTTATTTAATGCTTATTAGGGTGAGCACTCCTCTAACATGTGTCTTGTTTCTTTAGGGGGAATCACCCACGATACTTTCCAAAAGGAACTCATGTGCTTTGACCCTGACACAGACAAATGGACTCAGAAAGCTCCCATGACGACAGTCAGAGGTCTGCATTGCATGTGTACTGTAGGAGACAAGCTGTATGTCATTGGTGGCAATCACTTTAGAGGAACAAGTGATTATGATGATGTTCTAAGCTGTGAATATTACTCACCAACTCTAGACCAGTGGACTCCAATTGCCGCCATGTTGCGTGGGCAAAGCGATGTCGGGGTCGCTGTCTTTGAAAATAAGATCTATGTTGTTGGAGGATATTCTTGGAATAACCGGTGCATGGTGGAAATAGTTCAGAAGTATGATCCAGAAAAAGATGAGTGGCATAAAGTATTTGACCTTCCAGAATCCCTTGGTGGCATTCGAGCCTGCACTCTGACAGTTTTCCCTCCGGAGGACAACACAGGGTCACCGTCCAGGGAGTCTCCTCTGTCAGCACCTTAGACCCATCCCTTGGCTCACCATTGTAGTAACACCTCTGCACTGCATCATGGGGTCTCTCATTTTTCTTCAGTAGTTTCTGTTAGGCTTAGCCTACAGCATTTCATACAATTACTGGAAAAAAAAAAAAAAGGACTTTGACATTATTTCTGCTGTTTGTTTGGCCTAGAATGTCTCTCAAGTGGTTGACAAAAAGAGATGTACTCGCCCGAGCCAAATGTTTAACAAATGAGAGGGTATTGTCTATAAAATGTATGAACTAGGTACGTTATTAATGTTGTATGTTGGGTGTGAGGTACTTTGTAGCTTACATTTGGGAGCCCAGTGAGTCAAATTTGTATTGAACATGTCACTGAATTTCATGTTGAAATCCTCTTTCCTTTCATTTTTGACTGCAGATCACAAGGGTAGGTAGACCACATCAATGTGAACTCTCTGAAGGTTGCCAAGGGGCCTGAGCTACCTCCCTCTTTACACAGAGTATTTTTGACATATCTGTTTACCCACCTGACTTTGTGGGTGCTTTCAGAGCATATGAAGTTTCTTAGGCAGAGGGAAGAAATAAAATAATTTTAAAATATTAGCACTGTACAGGAGCGGACCTTGTAGGGGTCGGGAGTTTTTTATAACATACATCAAGTGTTTTTCCTGAGTCAGTTGAATGATGCTTCAAACAAAACATTCTAAACATATTTGTGTTTTTTAATTTGTTCTTTTTGTTCAGGAATTGGCTTCCTCTTGCATGGGAGCACATACTATTAACAAATGGGAATTCAGTGCAGTTGTGTATTCTGTGCTATGGCTGTACTGAATATGGGTAGTTAAGGGCTAGAATCAGTAACTTAAGCCACTGAATTTGACCAAATGGTTCCATCCAATCAAATTTAATCTACCTTTTCTCCTTTGTTGTTGAGATAACTTGCATAATGTGTCCTCTGTATAGTCTCAGTTAATAAGGTTATTTAGCACAAAGTGCAGCTTCAGTGAGAGAGCTGCTTTTGCTCAGTGAACCTGGACTACCACATTTTACCTTCTTTTGTTCAATAAAACTTTTAACTGCAGTTACCCAGTCTAAGCTACCTCATTAATGTATTTGGTTTTTTCCTCTGCCTCCCTGTCTCCAGGATACGTGTGACGTATATCCATGTGGGTAGGTGAACCTGCAGGAAACCAATGCACAAGTGATCATGAATGGGTATTTTTGACCTACTTTTAAGAAACTATTTTGGTCTGATGTGTTCATTTTATTGTTAGGGACTGATGAAAAACCAGTCTTAATGTTTTTTCCTTGGAGAACTGCTTATGTGTGCAGCCCTGCAAATTCACAGGAATCTTTACCTGCTCCAAAATACAGTGCCCTGCTGAAAAACTGCAGCTCTGATTATGCCACTGTGGTTGTTCTGAACTTCTCATCATGTTACAATTCATTTTGCTAATGAACACAGTCACAGGGGCATCCTCTGGGGGAAAATGTTTAAACCAGCTTATTGTGTTACCTATTAATAATAACCAAGTAAAGCTTAATCGACTTTTATTGGGATTTTGCTATTTGTGTTTTGTCCCTGCTTGATGCAATCAAGCAGCAGGATTACTGTGGTGTCAGATTTGGAAATACTGATATTTATTCTTTGTGCAGTTTACTAGTAATGGTCACTACAAAAATCTACATGTAAGCTTTAGGTTTCATAATTGTTTTGGTGAAAATCAAAATCAATTCTTCCTCTTTAAAAAAAATTGAAGTCTCAATTCCATGTGGCTGTGCAAGATTATTGCAGGTGGAATAGTGGCACCAGTGGATACTCCTGGAAACTGGCCAGTGAAGATAAATTGATTCATCACCCTTAGAATACTCTTCTTATGGTGTGCAAAGCACTGGGTAAAAAAATGTTGCTCTGTTGTTTAATGTTGAAGGATTTTTCAATCATTTAAGTGTCCCATGCTACTAATTTTTTTTTCCAGCTCAAAGACCAGATTTTAGATCCTGCTTGAGTTTAAATCCCCTGAAATCCATATTCAGTGTCTCTTTTATTAATTAAACTGAAAAGTACTTGAAGGAGTTGCAATTCCTTTAGGATAATGTACATATGTCCTGCTCTTTGTATGCTGGGGATGAGGGACACAGTGTTTGAAAGTGGGTATCTTCACTGGTATTCTCTGTTTGGAAGAAGCTTATCATGAGTTCTGATCATTCTGAGGTGGTTTAAAGCCAGGATGTCAGTTTTGTGTCTGAGCCTTGTATAGCCAGGAGCTGGTATATGGCCACAATGTTGAGATTTTTTTGTTTGTGGGTTTTTTGTTTTGTTTTTGGTTTATTTTTTGGTTTTGTTTTGGTTTTTTTGACTCATTATTTGTTATACGTAAAATTGAAGAATTATCTTTGAATGTTTTGTCATCAGTGGATTAAATGTAGTGCTTCAATCAAATTAATCTTTGGGGTTTTTTGTTTTGTTTGTTTTTGTTTTGTTTTTTTTAATCTCCCTCTGGATTAAAGTGTTTATAATTACATTAGTTAATATTTACTCACTAGGATTGAAAAGCAAACATCAAAGACTTGCCCAAAATTGCAAACTGGTTTCTTCTGTAATGTTGTATAAAATGACTTGATGCTCATTGAGTCTTTCTTAACCATAGCATAAGAACCCCTTTCCATCTCTGAACCCACAGCTGTAGGAACACACATACAAATTAGGATACACCAAATTTCCATTTCCAGTCAGGCTGCCTCTTCATCAGTCTTGGCTTCTCTCATGTTGCAGTTGTAGTACCTGAATCAGAAAAGCATCTGGATGAAAAGCAATTATAGCTATTTGATTTGAATGAAATCAGGGTTGCATGGTGTGCCAGCTGGGAGAGCCACAGGAGCTGTCTGCCCTCTCCCAGGGATGCAGACACACACTGCAAAATTCATTCAGACTTTGCTTTATGGTGCCCAATTAGCAAAAAATGCCAAAAGGCCTCACTTCATATAGAGTTTGCCCAAAGGCCCATCTGATATCCCTGCAGAACCCAGCATTCTGACTCCAGACATGAGATGACATTTCCCTTGTTCTGTGTTTTGAGATAGGACAAGAACAATGGGGAAGAAGACCTGGGAAAATTCTTTGCCTTGTTTACATCAGAGAGTTCATCATCTGCAGATACCCATTTTTCTGTGATTCCCCTCCCCTTAGAAAGTTGTAAAGTCCAAGAACCTGGTCCAGGGAAAGCAATTCCTGCAAGGCTCCAGCCAGTCTTGTGGCTTCTTGGGATAAAGGAGTTGAACTGAAGGGATGAGCCCTGGTGCAGCAGAACAGCCTGGCTGTGGCTCTACAGGCCCCTTGGCTGGAAGAATCACTTCCCCTGTTCTCAGGACAAAAGTGAGCTGTTTTCTTCTAAACAATGCTATTTTTAAATTGCCATTCTGTTTCTAAGGGAACTTTAAGGAGGAGCATTTTAGTGACAGTCAGAAGCTCAAAGCAGTGGTCTGGTCCTTTAGTGGAATAGTGGCAGTCATGGATTAGAGCAGTTTGCATGCAGATAAATAAAGTTCTACCTAAAGGCTTGCAGTGTTAATCTGATGGGCTGGTTGGACTTGAAAAAATAATTTGATACCACAGCAACAAGTGCAGTACAAATATCTGGAGAAGTTTCTAACCAAAGAATTGAGGATGATCTGATCAGAAAGGATCATAGCACTTTTCTTTGCAAAGTTCATTCTGTCTACCAGAATTATTGTTCCTTCTTAATTTGCCCTCCAGCTGGTGATTGCCTCACCTTTACACTGATGTCTGACTCTGCTGGTCACTGTTTCTTTAATCTTTGGTTTGACTTGATGTCCTTGGTAGCTGACATCTCTGCAACTTCCTCTGCTCATGATCAGAACAGATAAGGCAGAGGCTTTTTAGTGGCACTTACATCAAGAGAGAAAATAGCCCACTGTGAATAAATGTATTTGTAATTCAGCTTGTGCATCTTGGAAATAGAAAAGCAGTTTTAAGCTAGTGAAAGGTATGTGCATGTTGCAGGAGTAATGTGTGTCCCCTTTCCTCCTGGCTTGCACCTTTTGTGGTGTGTGGAGGGTGGTGTGGAGTGGTGACCCAGAGATCTGGAGGGAGAGTCAAGCTCTCATGTGGCACTTTATGCTTTCCATGCTCTGTGAAAGTGTTCTTTCCTTGCACACCATATGTAGCTTATCAGGTATTCTTTCTTTTATATTTTAAATGTGAATAATGATTCTTTGTGTGCAAATGCGGTCAGAAAAATGGTCTTAAAGGGCAGAGTTATACTTTGCTTAATTGATAAAGTTTTTTGTCCCATGAGTATTGCAGGACCCGTTCAGCTGTGAGCAGTGAGTGCAGTTTGAGAGGCAGCTGGGAAATCCTGTCACCAGGTCACACCTGGTTCTTGTTGCCAGTCTTTCACAGGTCATTAAGTGAAGTTCTTTTCTCGGTCAAAAGGCTCCAAATTTGGTGTCCAGCTCTGTTGGACCTGCTGCTTACCCACGCTGGGGAAGACGTGGTGGGATGTGTTTGCTCTTTAATGACCTGGTGATTGTGTAGAGATGCAGCCCAGGGGACCTGGGAGTGGTGCTACAGCAGAGCCACAAGTGGCTGACATTCCTGAGGGGATGCTCTCCTACTCTGTGTGTTACTTTGGCTCGAGTGCTGGTTTTCCCCCCCATCTTTGGGAGTATTTATTGCTGCTGTTTGAGTTTTTAACTTTTTATTCATGAAATGAGTAATCCTCTGTGAGTCTGCAGTGGGAGCAAAAGGTTCAGGTGGCTCTTTCAGAGCTGCATGCTCTCAGGCTGTCCACGTGGTTATTAAACCCTTCCCATTTGGAGCTCTGTTTCCTAAGTGTTTAGGAGAAATCATTTTGCAATGTGAAAAGATCTCAGATGAAAACATGTTTAGGACTGGAACAAAAATGCATATTGTTTCAGATTTTTTTGGTCATGGCTTAGAGGTTAGTTTGGACTTTCAGCTCTCACACACTGAATAGGGAGTGATATATATTTTATTTTTTTTAATAACTTATAGTTGGCTTAAGTGAGTCAAAGCTCAGTTATTTGTACCTGCTTGCACTCTTGGCTGCCCTGTTGCTGTATTCTCCCTCAGACCACAGCATTCTGTGCTGTCTGGTGTCTGTTTCCTCGTGTAAGGGCACCTCCTGTCCTCCCTGCTGCCTGTTGATTGAGTTCCAAAATCAATCTGAGCTTGGGTTCTTACATCCAAAGTACCTGTGGATCTAAAGACCATGTGGAGCTGTGGATTGAGGGCCATGGCTTTGACATTTAATTCCCCACCAGCCCCTCATTGCTTTGCAAGAAGTTCTCAAACCCAGCCAAAATCTGTGTGCACGAGGCAAATCTCAGGCTGAAAATTTCAGTAACCTGGGCATCTAAAGAGCACCAGAGTGTCCTTGTCCCCTCTGCAAGCAGAGTTTGCACATGAGCTCTGAGGGCTCTGGGAGGGGCAGGCACTCCTTGGGTAACCAAACCTTTTATTGGCCTTTGGTTCTGCTCTTTCTTCTGTGCCCAGGTGGAGGTGATGGGAGGGCAGGTCAGGGTTGGGTCACCCTTTCCAGCTCTCAGGAGAGAGCAAGTTTGTTTATTCTCCTCTGTCTGCACAACACAGCAGGAAAGAGAACAGTAGGAACATTATAGATTTTAAACATTGTTTCACAGAACAGTATTCATTAATAAAGGAAAAATGAGTCTGTTTTAACCTGTGTTCCTCATAACCAGGATTGTTCCAAAATACTTGGCTTCTGTTGAATTAACAACTTTGCCTTTACCTCCCTTGTTCAACGTTACTGTAAAAAAAAAATTGCTTGGTTTCTTTTCCATTTGTTTTTCATTGCTTGTAACCTTTTCTTAGAAATGTGGAAATAATTTTCCTTACATGTTTTATGCACCAAAATAAACACACCACTGATCACCTGAGTTCCCTCCCCATGTTTCTTACTCAGTGCCTGCCAGTGTATCTTTCCATATTTTTATAACATTACCCAAATGTTTGACAGCTGTCAATAAATACCATCACAGAGCCATAAAATTCCTGCTGATGGGTCCTGCTTTGGG